CACGTTGTCATTCCAAGTTCCATACTCCTGATGTAATGTGAAATGTGGCCACAAGATGGAGACCTTTTTTCTAATGTAATGAAAGGGCTGATTTCGGTTAACATGACCTCTTTTATTTGCAGGTCAGATGTGCACCACAGTGAATGAGACATATATTTAAAAAAAAACATTAAAATAAAGGTCAAGGTTATTTTTGCAAGCTGCATGTTGAAATAAATGTTACTTTTCAAACATGTTCTTATGACTGGGCCAATGTTAAACCTCCAAACTCTTCCCAAGCAGAATGGGCGAGATACCTCCTTCAGAAGATTGACTTCTTTATAGTCGGTCCTGGAAAATCATTAGAAGATATTTTCTGCTCTGTGACTTAGTACATTGCCCACAACTCTGCAAAGGCTTCGCTCAACGAGGATTGCTTTGCATGTGGAGGCTGTCACTGAAACATGCAAACTTCACATACATCCAGTGAGATCTAAACACACCAGTCCTTAATCAGTCATTTTATAAACATCCAAAGGCAGCGGGTAAGAGGACACACTCTTACTTTACCCATGGACACACACATTTGCCACTGTGACATGGCAACTCCTGTGCTGCCGGCAGATTTTCTGTCGCAGTTGTTCTGGTGGAGAAGAGGATTCCAGCTGTTTTAGCCACACACACACACACACACACACACACACACACACACACACACACATTAAAAATAAAAGCTTGGTCAGGTTGCTCTGCCTTACAGTTTCAGGTTGAACTTGACACCAGTTCTGGTTCACACAGCTCAGCCCGGCCTCTTATCACACGCTGTCCTTCCTCATTGTTTTTCTTTCAGTTTTGAAAGTTTATGGGATGTTTCTGGGTTGTGTTTTTTCGCAGGGTTTTAAGTAAGCACTGAAGGTGCCTCGGTCTCTGGCTCTTGAGTGGCTGTGAAGTGTTTGTGACAGTTGCTAAGCCAACACCCTCTGTAATGGCCCGGCAGAGTATGAACATACACATGTGCACTCACACTTTCACACACGCGCGAGATTGTGACTTCTGACTGGTGGGATGGATGCTGACAGAGCTGTTTAGGCGATGCAGATTACTGTCGCCTCACACTGGAAAGGTGTCATCCACCCATGCCTGATAAGAGGCAGACTGTCGTGGACTAATTGTCTGTCTGCGTACGTGTTGAGATGAAATGACCTGCTTAGAAGAAAAGTGTCTGCAGCGAGTGTCAGTGGATGTGCTGGAGGCCTGGAGTCCATAATCCTGTCCTTGAGACTTGAGTTATTAATATATGATTTGAGAATCCAGACAAGTGCAAGTTTCATGCTGGCGTTGCATTTGTAGGCGTTTCTGTCCCCTCCCAGACAAAGTCATTGAACTTTTTCTTCAGAAATTTCAACAAAACCTTTTTAATTACAAACAAATTGGTTTAAGTTTTAAAATGGACAAAAACAACATTTTTTTAAATGGTTCAGGCTACTGTCAGATGAGAAATCGGCACGTGGATCTCCCTCAAGGATTGTAGAACACCAATACAAATGTGTGGTTTTAATAAGCAGTTGCTCTTTGATGTTGGGGATCTGACACAGATTGTGGTGTTTGTGTAAGTTTTTCACTGGAAAGTGTTTGCTATTGAACTCCAATGTAGATGCAGAGGATATTTTTCTGTGTGAAATCATATCGTTTCATTTCAACAATGGGGGGGGAATACAAAATTCAACCACACAACAAAATGTATTATGAGCCATCTTCTAAATTATAGTGATTTTGAGTGCAGTAATGGGAAGTAACTGAAAGCTATTCTAGTTCTTCCCTTTATTGTTCAGCTTTGAATCTTTCTCAAATAATGATTTCTATTCCATAGTCCATACTGCCTAAACTTGCCTTACATTTTCTGTTATTCATTATTGGATGTAAATGTTAAATGTAATTCATATTTGCAACAAACCTCAAGTCTGGATGTGGTTCTGGCTCTCATCCACAGGACAGGATGTTCATTTTTGGAACAAACTACAGTGTTAAATTGAAATAAAGAATAATTTCTGCAACTCATTCTTCTTTATTTAATTCCATAGGAAAACTGATTTGTGTTATTAAAACTAAACAATTCCAATCCCCCAAACCTTTTATTAATGCGCAGCTGAAAAAATCAAATCCATATGAAATATGCAAAAATAGCTTCTGAACTGAGTAGTAAACATATAGATTATTTAATTTTTCTTTTGTGAAATATATTAGCTTATTGGTTCTAGAGTTACACAACTAGTAATTTATTTGATTTGATTTGATCATAGACAAGATGCACTCTATACAGCTGATCCACTCAGTTTGTTTTGCAGCACTGCATCACTCTACGCGTGTGTACTCGTTTTAGTGCTGCATGTTATGGAAGCCTGTTATTGTGCAATCCCTGAAGCACCTGCTTCCTTCAAACCTCCAATATGTCCAGCACTGTGTTAGTGAGTGGACTCACTTGTGAATATGGCCCAGATATGTTCACAGTTTTATGGCATTACATTTGAGAGATTAAAACAGAAAGAGCAGACACTGTGATTCCACAAAAACATCCGAGCCACAAATGAAATGAATATAATGAATAACTGTATGCAGGGAAAACAACTTTGAAAAAGCAATTTGGCATATTGCATACGCCGGGCCACTAATGTAATGGTGGGAATGTTGTTGATGGCAGGGGATGTCACACAGAGCCATGTAAGGCGAGGATGAGCGGCAGGGTAATGCACAATAACCCGGCGTATTAACCTTCAGCCCTCCCCCTCTTCTCATTTTAATCCAGCAAATTCCATTATTCCCCCTCGCAGGACCATTTGCCCGTACAGGAATCCCGTCCTGCTGCCAACCTCCTTTTATTCCTGCTCTGTACTTCTAGAACCTGCTTCTCTCTCCAGTGTTAATCTACCACCACTGGGCCTCAAGCACTTTGAATAAAAACACAGCTCCAAATCCGCCACTTTGAAAAGGCTACTAATTGCACAAAAGAGCGAACATCCCCTCAGATGGGTTTAAAGACTTAAAACAAACAGATTAAAGCACTAGTATGTGATAATGCAGGTTTCACTGTAATTTAACGCATAACAGAATAATAAAAGTGGGGCATTCTGCGCTTAGAACAATGTGCCATTACACACACCGCACACTGCCAAGAGCCACACAGGCCATTGACCTAATATACTGGCATCACATATGACACATGAAGGCTAAACTGGGCCGGTGAGACACACATCCATTAAAGTGCTTTACAAGTGCAAACTTTAAAATCCTCTTTAATAGGGCAACCTTTAGTGTTTATCCCTAAATGTAATTTCAGTCTGGTAAAAATGTGCTGGAATGCACTGTGGATGAAGCCTGTGGATGAACATTTAATTTTTATGTATAGTGGTGTATTTTTTTAACTCCTAAATAATCATCTACATGTTGATAGGTGTGGGTATCGAGCTTCAATACTTTTTTACATATCAAAACGTGTTGTCAGTTACCCAAAAGATGTCAGAGTGAAGGCTGAAAATTAAATCTGGTTATCGTGTGTGTGTGTGTGTGTGTGTGTGTGTGTGTGTGTGTGTGTGTGGCACTGAGTATTGACTCAATGCTTATCTTAGTCTTATTTGCCTGTTCTTGGATTAAATTTCCTAATTAAAATAACAGTTGCTAACAGCTAATTGTAGAAGTTTTTGTACTGCTGACTATACTGATTACTGGTTTTGTGGAGAAATATATTTTCATTATTATTCAAAACATCACAACATCTCTAAGAAACCCAGCCAGAATTTTAGAGATACTAAGGTCACAAGTCATCAAACTAAATCCTCAGCACTCTCAGAAAATGTAGACTAGAAACCATACAGGATGTCTCTAAACATTTAGTCTAGAAATATTGGAATCAGCTGATAAACTACTCATTATGTTTCTGTTTTTGATTGCAGAATGTAAACTCCCTTGTAGTTGCTAACACCCATAAATTCACAAAAAACGTAAGTGCAAGCTGTAAAGACTGTAGTACTGGTGTCACAATCAAAGAGCAAGGTCATCTTCTAGACACCTGCGTTTGCACAAAAAAATTATATAAGAGGTACATCAACAAGTTTTGCCTCCTCTGCCTTACTGCCTTACAAGTTTCTGCACCAGTATTAGATGTAGTAGACCATTATACAGTGCAGACATGTTTGGAGTAATAGGTGTGGCCACACAATGATAGACATGCCCAAATGTTCAATGAATGAAATCAATGAGAAAATCGGTTACTGTAGTACGGACATGAAAGGTAGGTACAGCCAAAACACATTTTACAACATCTCATCAAAACCTGCTGAACATGACAGACATCATTAACATTTAGTCTGGTGAAAGTAAAGGTATATGTTTTTAACATGCAGGTAGGCCTCTCATCTCCCTCATGCAATCTAAACAGAAGGTTATTCTGGGACATTGTAAGATCTGTTGGAAACACTGGTGACCGTGTTTCTGATGCTTACGGTTACACTGGAACAGAGACATCTTAGGCTGCTGCTCACTTGGCATTACCCGTATCCCCAACCCTTCCTTGTTGGCTCTGTAACAGTAAGTGTAGGGCTGCTGTTTTGCATTGCGATGCCACTGAGCCTTTTATTCTGTGCTCTGTAGATCTTACTTGTGGTTGCTGGAACGTCACCGGCATAATTAGTTTTCTGAGTACTTTTTTGTCCTTGTGCTCTTGTTCCGCAGAAATCTCCCTAGGCTTATAGCCTTCAAGGTTATTGTTATTACTAGAGTACAGAAAAATAACATTCATCAGACAGCCGAAGACAGTAATTTCGCTCTCTTAAAAAGTGATGTGAGAAGGTGTCAAGTGACCACAGGTCAGAATCTCTGGATTATGGATTACTAATCCCTGAATATGTGGTATAAACTTAACCTTAACTCTAATGATGATCTGTGAGGTTTGGTGCAAATGTCTCTTTTCTCTGATGGAACAGATATGTGAATTTCTGCATTATTATTAATTCAAAGATTTCTTTCAGTTGGCAGGGGAAGCCCAGGAGCTGTTCTCGGTGCGTCATGGTCCTGTGCGAGCTGCGCGCATTCTGCCTGCTCCTCATATCAGTGAGTATCTTCAGTTCCTTAACCTTGCATAAACATAAAACGGCATACTCCAAAGCACACACTGCATATTCCAACTTCAGGCTTTGACCAGCATATCTGCATATTGTCCACCTCTCATTAGAGACTAGAGACTATTTTACTTCATAATCACACCCTTGTCAGGTGAAACCCATTTTAGATTTTGAAGGAATGGTTCAACATTTTGAGAAATGCCATTTTAGCTTTCTTTCCCAGAGTTAGATGAGAAGATGGAGGACACTCTCATGTTGGTACGGTAAACACGGAAGGGATATATGGCAGATATACTTGTATGTGCTTTTAGACACATTTTATGTCTGCTGAAGTGTCTTTTCAGGATCATTTTCAAATGTCTGTCCTGGAAACAAGCCCACTTTGGTTAACTTGATTTCGGCATTCAAGGTTGACGCTTAAAATTAGATTTTGCATGGCACATCCTAATGCAGTTTCGGTTTGTGGGCATTTTAAGTGGCGCTATATCATTAAAATTAAAGAGTGCTCAATCTACGATTAGTGTTGGCCTGCTCTTAGTCAGCGGTGGCAAGACTGAAGTCAGTGCTTTCTTGCTGCCAAAGCTTTGCTGGAAACTTCCCACTCTGCCTTCATTGTTCTGTTAGTGATTTCTCTCTCTCTCATCCAATCTAAATCTTCTCTTTAAGATTCTTTAATATTTTGTTTAGGTAACATACATGTTATCAATGCTATTTTCATTCTCTTTTTAAATTTGTTAACTGTATCTGGTGCTGCCTAATGTCCAAACCATTCAAATGAATTAAAAGTTTAGATGTCAGTCTGTCTTAAAACGGCTTCATTGTAGCTGCAATTTTGCAGCAGAATAAACCGTTATGCAGGGAGACATCTTCAATAGAAGAGGGAGAGATACCAATCTTCTATCAATAAACAATAATGTTATGTTGTCAGAAGACATGTTACATTAATAGTAAGTAGCAAAAGTCTTTCTGGGAAAGTAGGAAATCATGCAGAAGTCAACAAGGAAGGACGGACAAATGTGGGTACGTTTAAATATTAGATTACAACAGATCATCATTAATTAACCCCTGGAATGCACTGAATATAAGAAATTGATGATATAAGAGAATAGGAGTATAAGAGAATGGATGCCTTCAGGATCTGACTGGCTGTGTTCTCTCCTGTTCCTTTCTACTTTTCTTCACCCTCATATTACTGGCTGCGTGTTCCCATGACTGTTTAAAGAAGTTCATAAGTGCATATTTCCATTCACAGGTTTCTATGCACATTTGAAATTTGTCATTTTAAAACTGGTAGAAGCACTGAATAAAGCAGTTTCACTTTGTTTTTCCGACACTGTTTGTTGGACACCGGACGCTGCGAGCCCTTGTGCTGCAAATGTTTGCTGAGCTTGTTTCTCTAAAAAGATCCAGACTTCCTTAATTTACCATGCCTTTCTTTTGTTAAACTTTTGTTCAGCTGAGTCCTGTCATTAATATTAATATTATGTGTATTCTTATGGTGCCAATTAAAAACACTGATAGAAAACCTAACAATGTGTTGTGTATCTCAAAAACTCACCCTCAGTGGATTGAACTGTGGAGTTAACTGTACAGGTGTATAACCTGTGAAGGTGCCCAACAGCTGGCATTATTCACTGACTCAGAGCTCATGGGGGCCCTGTGTTTAGTTTAGCCTGAACGACAAAGGCTGTCCCGTCACAGGAGTATACATAGCTGTGATTCATAGTGACTGGGAGCCAATTGTTGTATGCCGACAATGTCACTGTCTTGCAATAACTTTTCATTTTGTTGGCTTTGGTTAATGTTTTCAGCATTTAGGGAGTATAGTTCAGAGTGAACCAACCTAAGATTAATAAACATGGCTGACACAACTATTAATGGTAGCTAAGTAATGGAGCTACTATAAGAGATGTTCCTAGCCTCCCCCGGTCTGCATCCCAAGTGTCCTTGGGAAAGACACTGAACCCCAAATTGGTGTGTGAATGTGTTAATTTCTGTTTCTGATGAGCAGTTCTCTGCTCATCAGTGTATGAATGTGTGTGAATGGGTGAATGTGGATGTAGTGTAAAGTGCTTTGAATGGTCAAAAGACTAGAAAGGTGCTATACACGTACAGACATTTTATGGACTGAGACTTCCAAATGCACAAAACAGTAGCAATTTTTAAAGTGCCATGTTTTTTTTATCAGCAGGGTTTGGCTTGACATCCATCGACCACCTGTTTGGGTGGCAGACCGTTAAACCTGTGATTGGTTCATGAGGTTTGGTGACCTTGTGTAATCCAGCATAGGTCCACCCAACTTCAATTTAAGAGCTCTCTTCAGACAAAGTTAGTGGAAACACCTGTGTAGATCGACAGGGCCTTTGTTTTAAAAGCATAACTACGCTCTGTATCTGCTTTTATGCGAAGGCGCTCGTGGCTGGATGGGAAACCCTGGGTTGACTGACCCACGTTTGTAACCAGCGTCGTGTGACTGCTCTGCGCCATCGCGGTTGTTAGGTTTAGTGAAGCCAGATAACTGAAGGGACATCCTGCGTGAATAAATGAACACTGAAGTGACTGGTTTGTAACCAGCTAGAGATGTGCTGAAATACAGCTAGCTTGAAAGAGCTTCTTAGATGTACATTTCTGTAAATGACCTTGTAGTGAGAGGATGGATTTGGCACTGAGAGTTGTTACATCAGGAAAGTATTGTCTGAAGTGTGTCAGCATTTTAAGAATTTCTGTTGAATTTTTCTAGTTTCACATGCTTTGACTTGCCATCATGACTAATATAAAAATAAATACCACCCAAGCCTAATAGACATTTTTATGAATGGATATATTAAGTAGTGCTTTCAAATAAAATGATTAACAAACAAATGTGTATCATCTAAATGTATAGTAGACAACCCCAAGTCCTTGTACTTTCATTGACAAAAGTGGTTTCAGCTCCTGTCCAAGAAACAAGCACACCAAGTTGTGTGAAGTGCTATAGTAATCTATCTGTCTGCCCACATTAATTGGTGTAGCAACAACATGGACACTTTTAATTTAATCTATAATGTCTCCTCAAATAGTGAAATATTTAGTGATGACAAACAAATGTTTCATTGGTTCCACTGTCAAACAGTGGAAAATTCAATGCAGTATGAATAGCAGTGTTCATATCCTCAAAGCCATGGTGCAAATGGTTTAGTTGTTCCACTGATTAGATCCTTTGCAGACATGAAGTTTAAATTTCATCTCTGCAGGTGTCAATCAGTGCTGTGAAAGCTGCCATATAGTCCCGCTGGTTTGTGGCATTTTTTTTGATGAGAAAATCGCCTTTTTGTTCTTCGTCCCTGTTCCGGTCTTTTGGCAGATTTCAACAACACACAATGGCAGCATTTGAAGAGCGCTGGAAGTGGATGAAAGCAAGCCACAGTAATAAGAAGCAGCAGATAGCCCAGACACATGAGGGGAGCAATTCTCTCAGCAGAAAATAAATATGAATTGTACTACTGGAGGGAAGGACACTGATTGCAATCTGCTAGGGCGCAAACAGTGTTGCACTGTGGTGATCCATTAATAGGCCAGTTGTCTGGGATGTGAGGTTGTGTGTGGGTGGACTTAGAAAGACCCGAAAATAGGTGTTGATTATAATAAGACAAGGTTCCCCTTTCCTAGAATAGAGAGGGAAGTACTGGTTTTCCAAAGGGAGTAAATGCGTTTATCCACATCCTTTCTGGAGTTTACAACCTATGATCTTCCGTTGTCTTGGAAAATGAGGCAACACTATTTCTTTGATTGATAACAAATGAGCATTGATGAAATGTGAACTTGGGATTTTGTGCTCTTTTTCAGTGGAGGTCAGTTTGTATGTTTTCACAAAAGAGATACACTTGGGATGCTCCAACACTGCAAAAGCAATTTTATGAAGTGTAACAATAAGCATAATGTCTGTAATGTTTCAGGCCATGTTATAGTGGTCTCTAAACATGCACCCATCCCCTGTTACATTGAAACATGCAAAAGTCCACACAGAAGGCATCACTTGCTTCAATTACTTTCCATTACAGTAGTAATCAAATCAAAGTCTCTCTATTCATTAAATGTTGCATTTTTTCCCAGGAAGTTTATTTAGTAAATGTTCACTAAGTCTCAGAGTCATATTTATGTTATGGCTCAATATGATGTCTGATGACAGAAACATGAAAGCAGTAAGGACTCGGTTGGGAGTGTTAACGGCTGGTAGGGAAGGCACATTTGCTCTCACGCCATACCACAGGAACTCTTGGGCTGATTACTGTCAAGCCTCAAATTACAGTCCTCTAAAGGCTAACATCTTCTTCAGTCTAAGCGCCCCCATCCCCTCAATCCCCTGATCCTCCATCCTTCTTCAAGAATGAGACAATCAGGGAAAATATAGGATCAGTCTACTTAATGCAACATGTTTTCTCTTCAATTTTATAAATATGCCTGGTGGGATTTTACCATACTGTAATTCCACCCTGAAACCTCAAAACAAACAAGGAGATAGACTGAAAAATCTTACTCCCTTTTGCTTCATTAATCTCTCCAGCTCATTTCACTCATGTCATGTCATTGATTTTTTTCAATTATATTTTTAATACAGCTGTTTCTGGAGAAAGACTGTACTGCAGCAAGGCAGGGACAGACCTATATACACAAGTCTGTTCCTGACTTTACTGAGTGAGTGATGAAGTGACACCATCCATCGGCTGAACATTGAGACTTTCCCCATTGACCATTGCTCTTTCAAATTGAATAGGTGCTAACAGTCCTGAACTATGTCTGCAGGAGGCTTTTACGTTTGTTTATGCTCGAGCAAGAAACTCGCCTCAAATGCCGTGTGAGCTACAATCACTCAGTTTGTCGGACTTAGCAACAGTAACTAAGGAGGGCGGGGCTTAACGAAGGGTTTTTGTAGCTAAATCTAGGTCTATTTGTTGACAATATTGCTGTTCTACAATCCCTCTAAAGAAAGTATTTGGAAGAACAAATGTATGCTAATTAAACAAATGTTGAAATATTATTTACTAAAATGTCGATATTTAAGATCTCGTCCTTTTTTATTTGAAGCATTTAAAAATCAATTGGCCCTATCAAAACAAATTAATCTAAAAAAATGTAGTGTAATGTTACGTTATCTGGCAGCCCATGTTCTCAGTTGTATTGTAGTAAACTAATGTTATGTTCTACAGATGGCTGTTGGCTTTTTTCAGCAAGTGAAGTGAAAACTAAAGGGAAAAACAAAGAAACTTCAAACTCGTCCATATTAAATTCTCAAAGTCTCTTGGGCCGCAAATACTGCATCGAGCATAAACAATTACATCCTCAGGAGCAAAATGACCATGCATGATTCGGCCATATACGAGGTTTCAGGCTAGTCTTGTTTTTCTTTTCCCTCAAGTATGCTTTGAAAAGCTCCCACAGTTGAGGACCAGAAAAAAGGTAGAGCACCACAGTCTTTACAGTATGTGGACTCCATGTTTTTGGCTGGTGAGGATAGTGGTCCACGAGCATGGAAAATAAGGCCTGATTTTGGGGGAAAAAAATCCCCATTCATCAAAAATGTTTCATGACCATAACTGAATTACAGGGCAACAGTAGTAATGTAATCAGCACGTTTCCTGTCATGGTAATAGGCTGCCTGTTGAATGAGGGTGGGCAGCACTGGAGGCCTCACATGTTCGTTTAAAGAATGTCTCTCTTTGTTGTGTGCAGATCATGCTGTTTCTCATCTGCCTCTTTCTATGACTCCTCTTCCTCCTCAGGTCCTCTGAAGACAGACAGTTTTGCTGACAAGAGGCCACTGCTGGGGGTTTGCAAGAGCACAGGGTCCTCTGGGTAAGTTCACGCATCATAATAAAGCTGACCTCCCTTCCTCTCTTAACAGGATCTTAGATGTTTTTAATGGCTACAGATCTCTGTTCTCTGTCCTCTTCCATGTGCTACTGTAAGTCCTGCATGTGTAAGATTCCAACCAAACACTATAGAAGTTGACATCAATGATTAGCACACTATCATCCAGATATGAGTTACTATCTCTACTCTATAAAACAACATGTTCAAACAGATTCACAAAATGGATTAAAATAAACAATTAAACAGACACCACGATTTTTCATGTAGCAAATTAAACATTTGAGTTATATGGCTTATCTGAATAATATATTTTTATATTAATATCATATTCAATATATTTTTATAAGTTAAGTTCTTGTAAAATGATAAAAACTAAGGGTGTCCAAATAGAGAGTCCTTTAATATTGGGGATTGGCTGATACCAGGTTCAATCCAGTATTTGCTTTAAGCCCCCTCCAGCCAGTTTTAACTGCTGTTTTTGGTGAACATTCTTTCTCAAACAGAGAATGGGGGTGTGGTTAATAGTCGGACGTAATACATTACCATGACAACCAAAAACTGTGCGAGTATCAGCCGTTATCAGTCATACAGTCGATGGTGCACACGATAACTCCCACTACGTTTTATGGTGCGCTTACTTTACCGCGGAGGTGTGGGGGGTCTATTACTCTGTTGAATGTATGTAAAGACTTCTGATACCGTTGCCTCCACCGATGTATTGGTAAAACGGCCGTCAGTAAAATGCATATTGCAGACTGTGTATAAGACGGTAGCAGGAGAAAGTGCGACGCGTTTTCTGTCATCTGTCCTCCAACACCGCACGCACAAATGCCATAATGAAAATGAACAGCACACTAAACCAAGAGGAGGAAACTAGAAAATAAAATGAAGACTCTCTGTTAGCTAACTTTCTGCAATAACTATGCTAGCTAACTACACCTGGCTAACTACAACTTAGTTAACTTAGCTCACTAAACTAGAAAGACAAACCGACAATCAGACACAGAGAGACATAGAGTAAGTTCTAAGTAAATTACATGATAAATTGGTTGGCTAGCTCACAAAGATGTTTATCGGTTTGATGCTCTGACTTAAGAGGCGCGACGGCGTGACAGTTTTTTAACGAGGCATGACAGTGCGCCTGCGCAAGCTTGGAGAATGACGTATGACTTATGGAATTGCTATAGTCATACATCACCCCCACATTTTAACTACTAAGCAATTTTTGAGCACAAAATTAAGCTATTTGTCAAAAAATATTTGGCGAACTATGTGGGTAATCAACATTGGAAGGAAATGACTGAAAATATGAAATATCATATAGATAATATCATGTTGATTTAAGAATGTATCTGACACATTGATATGATTTGAATGGAAGTTTAACTGGAGAATGCATTTTGTAAAATTGAAATTGAATGAATTGCGATCAGTTAGAGCAGGGATGACAGGGAAAATGTAATGGTGTAGTAACTACACCAGTAAAAGTGGAATTTTTTCATGAAATAAAAACATGAAATCTAATGATTTCCTTAGTACGCCACAGTAAAATAGTAGTAAAATTTTAAAATAAAAAAACCTTATATTTTAATAAATAAAAAAATCTACCCAAAATGCAGCCTGTCGCTACGTAACTAACTAGCCTAGGTTGTGGCAGCTGACTAGCTGAAGTAGTTCATTCATGAAAATATGCACAACTGGTTAAAATAAGGTGGAGTTATCAGTCATTTAAGAGGAGAGAAACAGAGAGAGAGTGAGGAATCTGAGGCAAGAGAAATGGAGAGATGCATTGGAGTGAGACCGGGAGAAGAGAGTGCGCAGGAGTCAGAGAAAGATGAGACGGAGGGAGACTGAAAAGGAAGAACAGGGGGAACACTGTGAGAGCGCAGTGTGTTGGCTATTTTGTAACATGTGTTCTGATTATTTGTGCCTGCTTAAACCTGCCTTTAATGTGGCTATTAAAAGGTTATGTTGTGTTTTTTGAGGTGTGGGGGATTGGGGGTACACCCCGTTCAGGATGTTGAAGGAGGTGCGTTGCCTAAAAGCTTTGGGAACCGCTGAGCTAGAGTGAAGACATATTATTCTTTTGGAGTTGTTGGAACTACAGAAACACTCAATCCACTCTGACTGCGCAGCATTACAGAGTGAAGCTTCTTCACTGACAGACAGTCTTTAGCTGAGTACAAACATCCTTTTGTGGAAGATGAAACAGTCATTCTGAAAACGAGATGCTGCTGCCGGAATGTTTTATGTTTAATCTGTGTGCAAGCACACACAAGGCTTTCACATTCACTATGTAGCAGAATGTGCACACAGTAGAGCCTGATTCTCGTTAATGAGACCAGCACTGCAACACAAGCAGGCAGAGTTGGATAAAACACACATTAGAGTTACACAAGGATTGATCAGTTTTAGTTTAGCTGATACCAAATAATTAAAAAAGCCTGGCTCGGCCACGATACTGATCCTCAGGATCAGCTCAGGACACCTGAAGTATAAACTGACATTACTACTACTTCCAAAGAGGCCAACACTCAGCTTTTGGCAAGCAGTGGAACAAGCTCTAAACACAACATTGACATACTGTCCCTGGAGGTCTGTTCTGTTCGTGTCCACATGGTGGATGGAAGTCCAATATTCACTGCCCATTTAAACTCTTTTGGTCTCCACCAATATCTTGATTTTTAGTTACTAATTACTCCACTATGCTCACCAGCCAGTGTCTAACTGTGTTTGCTGTTTGGTGCTGGACAGGTAGCACACAGTAGGTTCATAAGAGTTTTATTTATTTATTTTTGCTGGAAATGAGGTTGATGAGAGCGTCTGAACCAAAAGTTAAGTTACAGGCTTTAAAACAAAAACTGTGAGCTGAAAGACTTATATAGCTGAAGAAAACTGCAGAGTTGGTGATAGATATCTGTGGGTTCATCAGTAGAATCTCTTAGACGGTAATTTGGCCCATTGCTCATAGAAAAATATTGATTAGTGCAGTTTTAATTAGATTTTGTTTGTTGGAAAAATCCTTTCTATAAGTTACCCATGGCTGCCTCACAATGTTATTTAAAGTCATTTAACTCAACTCCACTTTATTTATTTAAATACAACCTTTCATACAAACATGCAGCCTAAGGCGCTTTACAGAGCAAATTGAAACAGCATAGACAAAAAAGTTAAACAAAAATAGACAACAATAAAGCCAATATTTCAAATGAAAAATCAAAAGCAAGCTATTGCACACTGATCTGTATGCAGTAAAGTTACTGCATTTATTGTGAGCAACGCATTTCGCCCATATACTGAGCTGTGACTGACAGGATTGCAGATGTCACCACAACAAACCAAATCATGAACCTGTCTAAGAACCTGAATGAAGCTGGCTTCATCTCCTGCTGAGGTAATACCTTCACACAGGGACAGAGAGTTAGCTGACTGACAGGATCTTAATGATTAGCTCACAAGGTGATAAGGTGCTGAATGATCCAGTGGAACACCTCAGTGGCCATTTTATAAGGAACACCTGTAATTTCTGTCTTTACAAAGGTAATAATGTTCTGTTTTGATAGACATTGATTTAACTACATTTTTATTATTGATGTTGTAGTTTGCAGTGGTGTTGAACTGAACTGGATTATACTGTGAGGTATTTTAAATGTTCTGCGCACCTCATTTACAAATGTGACGTGGTAGAATAATTGAAACACATTTCAATATAATGAAATCTAACTAACTATGACCTCAGTAATGTAGTTAAATACATATCTGACAGTGTCCACAAAGGTTGAATATGCAGAATTTTTGGTAGATCTGTTGTATTGAGTTGCATTAAATTGTATCGGTGTACCTAATAAAGTGACCAGAGTGTAAGGGAGTCTTTTACTGGATTAGTTTCAGGGGAACTATCCTGAATAGTATACAGACTGATAGGAGACTTGACGGAGAGAAACTAAAGTAACTAAAGTGTGGTGTTAGAATGACCCATCCTCATGATATTTTGTCTTTAAAAAGTGCAGAAGGGAGTGTTTTACTCTTTGCAATGTTATGAAGTACAACGCCTACATCTGAAAGTAATTTTCTGTTAATAATAAGAGGCATCAAAGAACACCCAACCCCTTGTTATGAATCCTTCACATCCACCCAAATACAGCTGAGCTGAGCTGACTGTGAATCATGGGTTCTCATTGGCACTATGGTTGGAATGCGAGTAGTACCTGAACAGGCCGACAGAAAGGAGATTAAACAGATGTGTAGATCCCTGGAATTGTCAGAATTGGGACTAAGGAATGTCATGTATTAGTTTAGTGAAAGCTTAAGTTCATTTAAAAAGTGACAGACCCCAAGACATCTTGTACTTGCCTCTCCATACCCTGTCCTTCTCTCTTTCCCCCTCCTCCATTTACTTATCCTGCTCTTCCAGAGCAACACAAATTTTAACTCAATATATCCTTCCAGGGAAATGAAATAAGGAAGTCTGTCTTCAGCTGGCTCTTGATGGAGAACACCTTCTTGATGTTTTCCAGGGACTGCTGTCCTTTTTTTTTTTTCCTGACGCTGTTGCCGTTGCTTCTGCTTTTCCTATGTCCTCACTGACACTGAGACAGGCAGCATTTTGACGGTTTGGCGAATCATTCAGGCGTCGCTCGACACTAATGCTTAAAACATGCACTGTGTTGAAAGGCAGAAACCCTGACCTCTGGCTGAATGGCACAGCCTGGTTCTTCCCACTACAGAAGTGCTTGGTAAATAACACTCTGGTCAGAGACGAGAAGGAAAAAGGCTTCCGGGTGCGGCACAGTACTTTCCATTGGGCCTGTTCATAAACTTACTAAGGTCCTCACACAATTTTTAGCATATAATCATTTTGAAATAACAGCTTTTGTTAACCACCAAAAAGGATGCCGTCTTGACACTTAAATGGAAAACAGATTGGAGCCTTGGCCGCTACAGCGGTGCTGGTTTAGAAGTTGGTTCAGTCAGCTCTAGGC